AACAGTAGAATTAATCGGATATAACTTTCCTGTGTTCACATATGAATACATGACCCGTGTAACTCCACATCATGTACAACTACAAAAATGGGAAGTTATACTGCATGTATGTATGATATGTCAAAATACATTCTACTGTCACATCTAACTGCAAAGAACGAATAAAAAAAGAAATAAAAATGACTAGGCTATTCTTGTTACTGAATAAAACAAATGTAATATGCTACATGAAGTTATTGCAGAAAATACATAACTAAAAACATGATACAAATTATAAAACATTCCAGTGCAACTTTAGATAAATCCTTAGACCAGAGATCCGTGCATGTGCCCCGTCATTCTTATCACATAAGATCTCAAACATTCTGTTTTGTCTTTGAAACTGCAAAGTGCTGGGGCTCAAATAACGTAGTTTTTTTTTTTTTTTTTCCTCATGGGTGCTGAATCTTCCTTAATTTATTTTATTGCCTCCAAAATTCCAAATATTTCTGAGTCATGAGACTGGTATTTATCCTTTAATTCTATTTGATAGTGTAATAAAAATAAAACTGCTAATGAAATGGACAGTTTCAAGAAACAGAGAGGGGTTTGCAAGGCACAGAGGACATGAAGGATGAAAAATGGGAAGAAGTTTAATTGGGTCATTGGGAGTTTCCAGGAGGATTTTCCAATAGAAGTTTTAGGAGAGTGATGAGAGACATGCTTCACTGCAAGAGATGTTAGAGGAAATAGATAGAGAGAAAGTAGAGGAAGCAGGTTTAAATAACTCTTCAACGAGCTTTTAAATATTTTTATTGAAGAGAATAATTTGATTTTTTATTAAAGAAAAAGATAATTTCAATAATTCATATTAACTAACAATTTCCCCTGACCTGTTTGATAATTATAAATTTTTAAAAAATTATTGATATATTTAAAAAGTCACATTTTTCTTAAAACAATAGCCACTTACCTCTGATGCATATTTAGAACACTTAGAATGCAATTTTATGATAGAATAAGGCACATTGTAAATTGAAATCTCTCTGTAGCATATCAATTTTTCATGTGCATTCATTCATTCTGTAATTATGTAAAATATTTAATGGAGTTTTTGTCATTAGAAAGTGCTCATTAACTCACATGCATTATGATTACCATTTGTCTATTTTTGAATGCCATATTCATATGTGAATATGAAAAAGTGTTCTATTAAAGCTCAAATATTTTATAAATGCATTGCCAAAAGTCTTAGTTTGTAGGGCTGCTTTTCCCAAACCATATTAATTTTTTTGAGATCATAAATCTTTTGAGAGACTAAATAAAGCTGTGGACATTCTTCCTACAAAAATATACACACATACATATCTACCAAAATGTTCATAGATATTTTAGTATATAGGAACATTTCGTTTATCAAAAACAGATATAGGTGGGGGCATTTTTTCAGATAGAAAAAGCTTTAACATTTTCATTTAAACTATTTTTTGAAGATAATCTTTCTAAGATGCATTACCCATTTCCCTGCCATCTAAAGCAGATTATAGAAACTTTTATCTTGATGAATTAAAGCCATGATTCTACACATACATTATTGTCTTAATTCTTAACACTAGTGTTTTCAATTCTGAGGCATAAGGAGTCCTGTATTCCCACAATAAGGACTCTATACTCTGTTGCTACTATTAATACTTCTTTCTCCAGCATTTCATCTATTCTGTTTTTTTTTTCTCTCTCTATATATATGCCCTACCAGCACTCTCTGCTTCTATCTTTTTGTATCTAAACCAAGAACCAGAAAACAGAGGTGTTGATTCTATGTTTATGTTGAAATAAAATAAGATTATTAGTGAAGTTCAAAGATACTAATTAAACCTTATGGTCTTTGTGGCATTTATTTTTAGTTGTTCAAGTTTCTTCAGGAGCTAATTATCTATGGTTCAGAAAAATGAGGTCGTGAAGCATATAGACTTTATGAAAAAACAATTTTCCCTCTTTTCTAAAAGGCATATGATATTCTGAAGTTCTTTAAGGAGTCTTAATCCAACACACTCTGAAAAAAAATGGCCACAAGTAACAGCAACTATTCCCCGTTACCTAGACTTTATTCAGCATTAGTATTCTGTAAGTCTGTGTGCACGCTTGCATGTATATGTTTTCAGTATAATTAGTTCACTATTGAAAAGTAATATTTAGGAGGTAAAACAAATTGTGCCAACTCACACATTTCATAATTTGTTACTATAAAATATTATCTGTTTGTTCTTGCTCAAAAACATTGAAAATATCAGATCAAATAGGATAATAATGTTTTATATATATTAAACTGGAATAAAAATGAAGAGTATTAATGGTAATCAATTATATTTGTATTATCCTACTCCATACTAGTGGATATACTTTGGAAAATACATAGATATTGTAGAGAACAATCTTCAGCTCTAATCACTAAACTATAGTAAGTCAGTCTCTGTGCCAGCATTTGGGAAAAATCAACAGTATGTTTTATCCATGGAACATAAATTTTTAAAATATAGATTATCAGTACTACATAAGCAATCAGAATGCTGAATAATCACACTGTCCTTACACAAGATCAAAGGAAATGTAAAATTACCTTATTTTTATTTTCAGCTTTAATTTGCCTTGAGTTATTCTTAACATGTCCCTTCAAGTTTAGTAATATGAAAGAAGTAAGCAAACTTACATAAAATAATCTTATTCAAAATTAATATGTAAAAATTTAAATATATAATTATGGTAAGTTAAAAGAAAAATAAAGAAGAATAAGGGTTTTTTATGGAAGTTTAATTTATGAACTTGCTAGAATTTTTATAGCAAATAATACTATACTCTAGATAAATTGATATGGCTTTATTCTGAAATAACCTACTCTAAGGTCAAATTTAAATTTTTAGATCTGAGTTTAGCTTTAGTTATTTTCTAGTATTTTCATTCTGAACAAATTTGAGGTATTGGTTGGATTATACTTTTAATTATCAATGCCTTTTATAATTAAGTGTTCACTATACACAAAGAATAAGAAAGCAATAGTTCTTTGTTTTTCCTACCTCAGCTTTCCACTTAAATTACTTGACTAATTGTTCAATCTGGCACAGCACTCCTCATAACACCTTTTTCACCCACCAAAGAAGTCTTATGGTCCTAGAATGGTATGGGCTTGAATATCCAGCATCCCTGAAATCTGTCTTGGTTCTTCCTTCCATGTGTACTAAAACTTATAGCCCATCATAATAACTCTTTCTTCCAGACTTTCCTTCATTTGTCTAATCACTTATGGAATGGACATTTAATTTGGATTTTCTCTGAATTCTGAATTCATCCTTTAATAAAAGCACTGTCTTTGACCCTTTGTGTCCTCATTGCTCTTAGAAAGGGACAACTCACTCTGTTCTTGGACTATCACAAGCTGCTGGACACCTATTTTGGAAAAATGGCTAGGATCAGTGAGGTGGTGCATGCCTGTATTCCCAGGGGCTTGGGAGGCAGAGGCAGGAGGATATCGAGTTCAAAGCCAGCCTCAGCAAAAGCAAGTATTAAGCAACTTAGTGAGACCCTGTCTCTAAATAAAATACAAAGTAGGACTAGGGATGTGGTTCAGTGGTTGAGTGCCCCTGAATCCAATCCCCAATGCCCTCCTTCCCTCCAAAAAGACAAAAAGACATCAGTCTAACTTGAGACTTGTGCTGCATAAAGAGTGTATGTGGACAACAAATCTGAGATATGTGCTTTTATATTGCTGATTTCCTATTTCTGTAATATAGATTTTCCTCCAAGGAAGAAGATTATCAGTAGTTATCTGTAACCAATTACAATCTGAGGCCACCCTGGCATAAGGTATGCTGGGACAAAATGAGTCCCTGCAGGATTTAAGGACTTCAGAAGAAATCAAGTGTAAAATGAACCAACAAAAGCCTTAATCATACAAAGTTATATTCCATACCAGTGGAACCATCCTAGGGGATTAACCAAGGTAGCCTTCTTCCTGATCTAGAAACTAAAGCTTAAATATCTAAGAATAAGAATGTTATTTTCTCTAATAAGAATATTATTATCTCTAGTTCAATGGTATTCATGTGAAAACTATTAAAGCATGACAAATGAAAGAAAATCTTTCTGAATCAGGGTAACATTGTGAGAGAAAGCTTTAAAGAAATGAGAAAAAACATAAACTTGTGTCAGTTCAATGGGTGTAATTATGAATACCATTTCTTAGCTTTGGCCAATTTTTAACTACAAAGAGAAATGTGCCACTTGATTAATATAATTGTGTTGGCCCAGTGTAATTGTGGTAGTGTAAAAGTGTGTGTAGGTTTTGCTGCTATGTGTAATTCCACCCCATTGTAAGAAAAAAATATTAAAAGCAACAAAGGAAGAAATATGCTTTTATTTTATATGTTTAGCATCATAGGATCCATTGGAGGGATCTGTGAGGCCCACTATTTCCTGGAAGGTATTTAGGAGAACTGTAGTGATCGCAGTTTTTCTTATGATCCTTAAAGGTATTCTGAAGTGTTCCAACACATTCACCACCTGCTTGGAGATCTGGTACACAAGCAATTCAGGGTCCTTATGAATAATGTGTGTAAATCAATGAAGATTCATTTTTGTTCGGGATCATTAGAGTGTGTGTGTGTGTGAGTGTCTGTGTGTGTGTGTGTGTGTGTGTGTGTGTGTATTAGGTTGGATAGCAAGGACCATTTGGTAAAAGGAAAATTAAGTACATATTATCTTTTACATACACCTGTGCAGATGTATACAAGCCCATAGCATTCACACAAATACATGCAGATGGAAACAAATGTATGTGTGTGTGTGTGTATATGTAGTGCACATAGGGCTGGATTCATCTAAAACTCAGACAATAAGTATCCACAATATATTTATTCATATATACTTAAAGATATTGACAAGGATATTACACTTGAAAATGTATGGCGCATATACTTGCAATCTTTTATTAAATTTCAGAAAGATTTTGGGAAAAACCTATTTCTTACCTACATTTCCAGTCATTAAGTATGAATTCTGAAAGTCCATCATCCCCATTCCAACAATGTGTATAAAATCTTCAATCACCTGCATTAATTCTATTGAGCCTGGATAAATCTAGAAAAATAAGCAAAAGTTAGATGGAATAAAAAGTCCACAAAATGAAATACAGGGCTAGAAAGAAAAAAACTCTACATAATGATGTCACAAATGAGCTCTGTTTATTTGAAGAAATGGCTGCAACTGGAAACAGCTGTAGTTTTTGAATTAATAGTCGAGAATGACACCAGGTGCCACACAGCAAGAACTTTGGAAGTGATATGATGAGCCAATTAATCCTCCATAAATCTAAAGAAACTCAAAATACCTACCAGATTGTCTACTCAGAAACAGCATGACTTTACTTTTGATGGACTCTTTCCCTCACTTAAATATAACACAGAACAAACACTGAAATTAGGCTCTATATTTTTAGCTTAGTATCCATCTGGGGGACATAGGAATAAAAAACAATTATTATTGCTATCATGGGGATATTTACAAAGTATTAAATCTATTTAATAAAAAATATCTTAGGAGAAACATTTATTTTTAATAATTATAATTGTCATTATATGAGTGTTATTAGCAATAATTTTAGGATTATAATAATAGCTCTAGGGTAGATGATTTACATGTATATACACACAAAAAACTATGAGGTTATTATATTTATTTCAGGCAACAAACAACAGAAGCTCAAGGCGTTCAAACTATCTAAAGCCACATTGTATTGTTGCTAGTGACTGAGGCTGTGGTTATCTACCTATTCTATCTGCATCTATATCTATTTTATCTATCTGCCTAGCTACCTACCTTCCTACCTAGATGCCTACATACTAACAGAGCTATCTGCCTCCTTTTCCCCAAGTGTATTTTCTAACATCATGGCATCTCACCCAGTACAAATAGATATGTGTTTTCTTAAAAACAACCTATGCTGGTATATTCCAAAATGATGTGAAATGCAAAGGCCGTTTGAAAGGTCACATGCATTTTAGCATGCATAACCCATAAAGCCTATAAAGTGAGCCTGCATTATATAACCACATTAGAGCAGAATGTCTTTTGAAGTTAGGTTCATTTCTTGTAGCTATTGAGTACCACTGCAGCTTCTAGCCATGAAAAATTAAGTGGATTACAGAGTTCTTCCTGCTTTGCATTGCAAAGTCTGGTGCAGAAGAGACAGAGAGGCTTGGGTTTGCAGGTAGGCATACAGTAAAAGCAGGAAGGGACTTGAGTAGGAGGAAGACAGGTTGAGCAGAGCAGGCTGCAGGCAGAGTGTGAGTTTTGTAGGGGCTATGGCTGGGCCCATCTAAAATTCAAGCTCCATGTATCCACAGGATATTAACTAACATGCACTTTAAGACATAAACAATAGATATTACATTTTAAAATATATGGCAAAGAGAGTTGGAATTTTTTTTTTTTTAACTTCAAGAATATTTGGGGAATAAGTCCTATTTCTTAGCTACATTTTCAGTAATTAAATCTGAATTCTGAACATTCGTCATTCCCACTTCAAGAAAGTGCATAAAACTTTTGTTGTCTTTAACACTTCCTGGTACTACTCTATTTCCCCTGTTCTTCTGTAGGTGTATGTGTGTATAACATGTGTCATGGACAGACAAATACAAACTAATGACAATAGGTATGATTTCCTGATTGGGAATAGACCACCTGTTCTTTACTCTTTCTTTTTTTTTAAGAGTATTCACTTTAGAAAGCTAGCTGTAAAGCTCTTTCTCTTTCTCTTTGAAATGTATGTAAATCCTTTCTAAAAGCTAAAAAAATATCCACCAGCTTAAAGATCCAGTGATGTCTCTCTTTGAAATGTAAACATCAAGGAAGAGTATACATCTGCCTGAGAGAAGGGTAAGGACCAAACTTCAACGGGTACCTGAGCCTGACTTTAAACTGCAAATTTGCCTCCTGTCATAAAGATTTAAGGAACTTATTTTGCTATAGATCAAGATAATTAGCTAATGACAAAGTTACCCCCAATTACTAAGGGACTTTATGAAAAAGTATGTGTGACAATTGCACTGCTAAGGCCTCTTGGCCCTAGCACTAGTCATTGTTTATCTTGAGGCTACTTAGGTCTATTAAAAGTGAGGTTCCTTTTTGTCCTAGCTGATTGTCTATGATATACACATCACACTCCAGTTTAATGCTTATCCAGTAATAAAACTCTTCTCTTTCTCTTCCATCTTTGTGGAAAGGTTTTCAGGTTGCTTTTAATTATATTTCCCCAATAGTAGTCAAGTATTGTAGAGAAGAGGTTGGCAAATTTTTTTAAAGAGGGACTAACTGTTAATATTTTAGGCTTCTCAAGTCATGGGGTTCTCTGTTGGAACAAGGAAACTCTGTCTTTCTTGCACCAAAGCAGCCCTAAATAATATGTAAATGAACAGGGGTGGCTGTTTTCCAAAACATTATTCACAAAGTAGGTCCCAGGCTGGATTGCCCTCACTGACTGTAGTTTGTCCATTCCTGTGCTAGAGACACATGAATTTTTTAGGTTAACGGTGAAATGCAGAACAGAGTACATGACTGAAATGACTGGTCTTGACGAAAATGGACTTGTCAACTCCAACCATCGTTGTGGTGTTTAAAATATTGCTATATAAAGTTCAGCCATTTTTTTTACTTTAGTATGCTGTTTTTATCTAAACATAGTTTGATCTTCCATAACTGAAGCTGATGGGTAATAAAAAAAAGCTCTGAAATGGCTATGTTTATTGTTCAAAAATGTAAATTTTGTTTGCACAAACCTTCTGACATCAATATTCACCATTTTACTCAGCTACTTTTCCAGATGTGCACAGAGCTTTATTTAATATTTCACTTTTTCTGACTTTATTCCTCTAAAATAAGGGGGTCATGAGGATTATTTCTGGCAAAATTTAAACAACCCTTATTTCTAAGAGGTCCACATTTTATGACACACATTTAGAGACCCATTTACCATATGGCTGTAATTATGACACCACCTTTTATTAAAAGCTACAAAATTGTTTTTTTTTTGTTTGTTTGAATTTCAAGTAGTCATTTTTTAAAGCAGCATTAAGGATCATTACCACTAGAAAAAAATTTAAAAATTAGAATAACCATTAATCACAGGTAAATAAATGACTTATGAATTCATGATTTTCCATTGATGAGTTCTGCCATAATTCCATGTGTTCAAGTTGCTATCTCACAGTAAATAATACCATGTGATGAACCACAGCCTTATTTTAAATAGGGTATTGCATATTTGTTCTAAATATATCCATAATTAATAGTCCCTGGCATTCTGCAAAGATGTGCTTCTCTGCAGCTGCATTCCAGGGAAAGATACCACTTCCTTACAGTGAGTGAACAAGGGTGTCCTCCAGATGAAGGCCAAGGACAAGTACATAATTCAAACTAGTGGAGAAAGATAGATCAAAGTCTTAAACTGAGGAGGGATTTTTTTCCTTGCCATGACCAGAAGCACAGAATTTGTACTGCTAATGAGGTGGACCACAGTGGACTATTTTTAGAGCTCCTACCACAGTGTGAATAAAGCACATGATTTACTCCTGAAGGCCTAGAATGCACCTTTGAAAGGAAAACGTGTAGATTGTTCATTTGAACCTCAGTAAATATTCATTCTCTTTTTCAAGATTGCCTTTTTCATAGGATATTTAGAAAGGGTCAAGTTGAAAATTCAAATAAGTTTAACATTTGGTTAAATTAAATTTCCACAGTATTTTTAAACAAGATTATACTCCATTTCTTGACCCCAAATCCTCTTTTTCTGTATTTTAGAAAAAAAATCTTACTATCCATATGTCATCACAGCACAAATGACAATGTAAGGCATTATGAATCAGTAGCTAAACTAATAAGGTTATTTGCTACACTGGTAAAAGCATAACAAAAAAATCAGAATACATTTTTTTTACTGTAACAATTCTTGGTTTTGAACTAAAAGTACATATCTGCTTATCTGATTTAGATTTTATATAAAATTGAAATAAATGAAAATTATCTTGTCAATAAATACCCTATAATTTCATTTGAGATATATGCTTTTTAGATTTGCACTTTTCCTGCTTTGTCTGTATATAGGAAGTAAACCTATTTTGTATGAGTTCCTTAATATATGTAACCTTCAAGTTACAAATCACCATTTTTGCATATATAAACATTATTCCTCCAATGGACTGATATTAGAAAAGATCATTTGATATCTCTAAAATGATTTTGCAGTCTAGAATGACTTTTAAAATTATCTTTTTATGTTTTGAAGGAGCAAACTGTTAATTTCTTCAAGTGTGTTTTACATATATGTAGCCAACTTTATTTGAAGTTCTAAAATAACCCCAACCTTACCTGCTGTGCATCTTCCCATTTTTCCTTGTTTTCTTCATCTAGAAGGTTGCTAACTATTTGAAAGAAGTTCTGTAAATTAAATTAGATAAAAGTTTTAATATTACATGAGAAAATAAATATATTTTTCAACAACACCCATTTGGTATTTTCTGTTGTGATGATATAAACAATTTGCATAATGGGTAGAATCATAATGCATCTATTTAGCACCAAAATCCTAAGATTATGGCCTGCATCTTAACCCCTGACTCCTTTCATACAAAATTTCTATGTAACTTCATACTTGCACCCCAGAAGCAATTATAAAATTAAGACACTTGCTTGAAATTCTTTGTTTCATTACAGTCTCTCAATTCCATTATATAATGTCATTGTATAATTATTCTATACAAATGAGATTGATTCTTTCTATAAGGAAAATTGCCTATATTTGTGCTGTTACAAATTATTCTGTTATGGTGGGTGGGGAATGCAGATCAGTGATTGAGTGCTTGCTTGGGTTCCAGCCCCAGCATCCAGGTGGGGCAATTATGGTGAGATTATGGACTATGAGCAAACCTGAGGCAAGAGGCTCCCAGGGTTGGATTACTAGCTCTTATACTTTTTCAATTACCTATTGAAAATACTATTGAAACCTTTGAAGTTCCTGGCTCCTGGCAAATAAATGCTTGGTAAATCTTAGCTAATTTTGAATTATTGCTCTTTATTCCTGTCATCAGAAAGCTAACATGGAGGAATGAGTAGACAAATAACATGTTCCCATTAAAGTTCCAAATCCTTGCCATTATCCTTGTCCCTAAGAAATTGTGGAAAATCTTATTGGTTTTATCTTCCTTTAGAATTACCCAATTTTCACTCTCTCTTTCCATGAGGACAAGCATATTTGAGTGCTCGTTTTTCCATTTGCTATGGACACATTGTCAGTGTTCCATTCAGCTCTGTTATTGCTCATTCACTTGTGAGGGGCTATTTTTGTAGTTGTTGTTGTTTTTACTGGAGGGAGACATTTTTTGATGTCCTCTGACATTATACTGTGCCATCAAGACACAAGAGTCAGAACAAGGAAACCAGGGTTCCTGGTGAAGGAAAGCCATGATTTAGGGTCATAGAACACCTAGTGTCAAGCTAACATATTTGTCTTAAACCACATAGACGGTGGTTACTTGGTTGTGTCCTCAGAATCCATCTTTTGTAACTGGTTTGCAGGTAATTTAGCAGAAGCATTGCCTCATACTGGCACTTTAGCTTATGACAGAACTCCCTTTTGAGGGCAGAAATAACAATAATTTGTTAGTCTCATCTGTCTTCCTCCCTATCTAGCTTTTCAAAACAAGCATTTACTTTAATTCTGAATAAATTCACCTGGGTGTTTTTAGATGAAAAACAAAGCTGCTTCATTTCCTCTAGTTTTGTGATTTGAAACTGTTATTATCTATATTTAATTGCCCTATTTGAGCTATTTATTTTAATAGTTCCTGGCAATCACATGGTGGAAACATGTTTGGAGTCATAACCTCTATAAATATTCCAGAATATTTTATGCAACTATTGAAAAAAAGGCAAGTCTGTTTTAGACCAGTTTTCAACTCATTTAACCTTTTTGTACAGCCAGCCATTTTTTTTTCCACTTAAAATTTCTCTCTTGAAGTGTTAACATTTTAAGGCCTTAGTCCATTGAGCTGCAACTCTACCTATGGGCAGAAAGAATTAACCTTCAGAGTTCTCCAATCGCCTATGGCTGGTTAACTCAGCAGGGGATTTGGTACTAATGAGGCAAATGTTGCAGGTCTCATCCCTGTGCATGCCAGTTAGCTGCACTAAAGCCCAGGACCTTGGCCTGCATCTTAACCCCTGCCACCTTTCATACAAAATGCGTGCTGCTGCTAACAAGAGACTCTAAGAGAATGGGAAGCAATTTGTGCAAATGCATTTCCATTTCTGGAAAAAAAAAAAAAAAAAAAAACAGTTCACAAAGCATGGTTTACTGACAGTGGGTCAGTGACTTCTTGCTGTACATGAAGGCCACTGCTCACATCCAATTCCTTGATGAAAATAATAAATTCAGAGTTCGGATTTTTTTAATCACCAAAGGGCAAACATAAAAATGCAAATTGCTAAAATAAACATTAGCCAAACATAGGGTACCAGAATGTTTTATCATTTTCTAAGGCCAACATATGGGACTTAACTAAGTCACGGTGGGCGAGCAATACAGATGACAGTTCTTCCGTGGTCTCACTGCTGATTGGTTCAGAATAATCTGTAGTAGTTCCCTTAGTGCAGACCAGATAGGAGCATAGTGAGCTAAGCCTCGATGTCTGGGTTGGAGTAGGAGCATTTATGGGAAACCAAGTCTTCTGGTTCATCAATATATTTTCAATATATATAATGCCTTGCCCATAATGGATACTTAATAAAGTTCTAAATTAAAGGAAACAAGGTGAAAAGTCTGTATGCTTTGGGTTTTCTTACAAGATTCGGCACCATTCCTTTGAGCTGTCTCCATTCTAATTTGTCTTCCAAACATGGAAAAATAGGTATATTAATATTAGTTATTATATATTAATTCACTTTGACTTTTGGTCAAAGATTGAAAGAGAACAGAACTGACAGAACAAATAGGACAGACAGTATTTTGGAAAGGACACTTGTAACATTTCAGGCCACTTGATTAAATTTCTGAACAAAGAACAATGCTGATTCCAAGGCAGCAAATATACTGCTTGCTGCTGTTCCTGAAGAGCCCTGCTAATGGTGCTGTTACGCTGATGATTTATGGATCAGGTCGCTTATCTCAGTCTGAAATGCACCAGATGTGTATTATTTCTCTCTCTCTTTTTGATCATCTCTGATGCCTATGATTTAGGCTGATTTCAAAAACTGAATGCATTTGGCAGAGTCACAGTTGCTTGGAGATTGAAATAAGCAGACTTGGATTAAAATTTTGTTCATTGATTATTAATTGTGTGATCCTGGGCAAATGTTGTCCAGCTAACCCTTATTCCTTTAATCTGTAAGAGAGGAATAAAAATAGTTACCTGGAAAAGCTATTGTGAAACTTGGAGGTAGTGTGTGTGTGTGTGTGTGTGTGTGTGTGTGTGGTGCTGGGGATTCAACCCAGGGGCTTGTACATGTGAGGTAAGTACTCTACCAACTGAGCTATATCCCCAGCCTGTGGAGGTAATTCTTAGCACATTTCCTGACATCTAGTAAGTCCTTGATGTACAGAGGCTTTGTGATTGTATTCCCTTTATTTTTTTTCTGTTTTTTATATGACTGACTGCATAATTTGTATTTATAGCCACATTATGGCAAATATACATTTAGAATGTTAATGTGGTCTTTCACAACCAATGCCAGTCTCTCCTATCCCCATTTAATCTATCTTCTTCTCTTGGCAAAATGCAGAGCACAGAACTGATTCATGACTAACTTCTGGGGCTGTAATTTGTTCAGTAGAAATCTCTCCATCCTAAGAATGCATTGTGCTAGAAGGGGTTTTCACTGTAGTGATTATTAGACACCTACTAAAAAGCACTCTGCCAAGTGGTTGTGGGACACAAAGGTCAAAGAGGCATGACTCTTTTTGTATTTTTCTCTGCAGGAAGTATGAAAATCAGTGAAGCAAATATATACTATAAAGAGAAGGACAGATGCTTCTGTGAATTTCAAAGTGTAGGTCCTAGATTTGCCTATAAGAGACAAAAACAAAAAACAAAAACAAAACAAAACAAAATATGTGTTTTATGGAAAGCAGTAATCGTTCTTTGCTTTACTTCTGATTGGCTTCCACTTGGCAGATATCTTTTGGATTATATATTATTTTTCTGTAACTATGCTAAAGCACTCTTAACACTTAGCTTTTGCTGAATTCTTCAAGGAAATAAAATTACATATTAAACTATAATTTGAGATATCTAAGCCACAGGAACTGTTTTCTTCATCAACCCAAAATGTTTGGATGCCAAGATAAAAGATAAGCCCTAAAGGACAAGATTAAATAATGTAGAACTGAGGGTTTGAAAGAACTGTTTTGGTCCTGATAGAAATATAGGGGTAAGCCTACAATTGGCCTAATAGCTAAACAAGGGATCAGCAACAAGCTATTAGATTAAGGATGGAGAGCATAGAACAGAGCATCCATCTAGAGAAGAGGTGAAGGCCTTGCCTGGTCCAGCTCCTTCACCTCTCCAACCTTACCACATGATATTCTGCTCCACACCCTCTATGCAGCAGGCTCTTGAGAGGTCTTTCTGCCCCCCTATCTTTTCATCTCTGCCTGCAGCCCAAGATACATGCTGTTCCCTTTCTTGGACTGCTCTACTTCTTGTTCTTAACTGGGATGACCCTTTCTTATCTTTCATTCTAGATCTATATGGAATTTCCTCTACAGGACTTCATCAGATCACTACTCTCCCCAAGTATATAAGGTCTGCATATATGAGGTCTCTTTCTTACCTCAAACTGCATAGCCTTTTTTTGAAGTATATCACAATTTGTCATCATGATTTGTAAAATTTGGTTTAGGGATTTTTTTCTCTACCAGCCTATCATCTAGTTGGGATTAGTTCTGTTTTGTTCACTCTTGAGACTCCAGTGCACAGCATAAGGCAAAGTGTGAGCACTCAAACATTTAAAATCAACTGGCTGCAGACCTATGGTGTACAAGGCAATCAAATATGCATTGAGGTAATTTAGAAGAACAAAAAAATTCCTACATCTAATTTGCAGTCTTCTTTCCATTTCAACACCCTCTTCTGATAGCCATGCCTCCAGTACCACCAGAGACCTCAATATATTCAGGAAATGAAATATGAGACTTATTTTAACAGATAAGAGAACAGGTTATCATGAGTAAATATGGGACAACACTCTGTTTCAAATAGCATTAAGAAGGTTCAATGTCATTATTGAAAACAGATACACACTTTTGAGAAGTCATAGGGCCTAATTAATAAAGCATTAGTTGTGGGTGTTTAACCCAAGGAAGGTCCTCCTCTTTCATAAACATGGCTTCTTTGCCAAACACAGGGAATCCTTCCCCACCATCACTGTCCCTACCCAACCCC